CAAATGGGGGATGCTGCTCACAATGAAAGAGTGGGGGAGTGGAGCAGGGGGGGTCATCCCGGATTAAAACCAGCTGACTGGTCCGCAGAAATCTCTCCCATAGATTCTTCAAATATTTCTTGCCCACACCACTGGAAGATTTATTTGTAAGGTGAAAGCAAGTTAGTCGGGAAAGGGATTTGGGAATCTCATCTCACCTACAGAACTTCCTCTTGTTCATTTTAAGGCGGGGATGGGGTTACCATGAAGTCTGGGAAAGGGCCCGAAACTTTCAATTTCAAAAGGCACAGCCCAGAAACCAGAAGGACCAAGAACCCAGTGCTGTGGTTTCCCTTTGCCTGACTAAAGAAAATAGCTGCTGTCTATTTTTACTAAAAATGTGGGACATGGGGCCCTTCTCTTCCCCTGCACAAATGGGGGATGCTGCTCACAATGAAAGAGTGGGGGAGTGGAGCAGGGGGGGTCATCCCGGATTAAAACCAGCTGACTGGTCCGCAGAAATCTCTCCCATAGATTCTTCAAATATTTCTTGCCCACACCACTGGAAGATTTATTTGTAAGGTGAAAGCAAGTTAGTCGGGAAAGGGATTTGGGAATCTCATCTCACCTACAGAACTTCCTCTTGTTCATTTTAAGGCGGGGATGGGGTTGATGTAATTCTCTCCCCCTTTCTTTTCTCCAGTTCCGCATCACCGTGCTGTATGGTGTTCATTCAGCACAACAAATCGGCGCCGATGGCATCATTAAAAGTTTGCAGTGTATCATATACCTTGCAGAAAATTAAAGCCATCTGTACAAGTGTAGAAATGGGATTCCAGCGTGTGAAATGTGTGTTATGTGTGTGACCTTTGTGTTCACTGTCATGAGTAGTATTTTGAACCTCTAAACCTCTGATCAAAAAGATGTTTTTCATTTTCAACACAAAAAAAATCCTGAGCAGGGAGAACAAAGACTTCAGTCTTGTTTTACTTACGCTTATTAACTTCGTATGTTTGTTCTTCATTAAAAGACTCTTTTTAGATGATTGAAAATACAAAAAAAGTACTAAATGTGTCAAAATGGCACACATAGAAGTGACTTGTGTGGGGGAGTAGCTATTGTGGCCAATCGCTCCGCTGCTAACTCCTTCGGCTCTTTGTTCCTTAGCTGAAAAATACATACAAGTGTGTATACTGAGGAAAACTCCAGCAGAACTGGTCAGAGGTGTTCCAGCCGAGTCCCCTTTGTATGATACCGCATCCCAAAAGTCCTCGATTGCTGCAAATTCCGTTGCTCCGTTCCCTTCTGAACACGAGCAGCCCCAGGACCGCAGACACGGATTATTGCTGTGAGTTGAATTTGGGCTTGTCTCCGTCCGATTCCCTGTATCGTGCTCTCAGCCCAGCAATACTGCACTGTGAAATGTTATATACTGCCCTGCGCAATGAAGCGTTACAGGAGCGCGTACTGCCGAGGTGCTTCATTTCAGAGGGTAGGGCAGTCAGAATTGGCAGGGAATGACGTAATCTAGCAGAGCAAGGGATGCTGGTGGTCTGGAACGTATTGCCCACCTCTCACACCCGTGATTATAATCATTTGGTTGCAACTGCTGCTGCAAATGCCACATTGTGGCACCATCCAGCTGGCGAAGAGGCTTATACGGGCAGGTCATCCCATTCGGGCACGCTGCCTTCGCAACCCGTATTGGGAACCTTCATAAAAAATGGACCTCCTGAGCGAATTCTCTCAATTCAGTGAGGAGCTTTTAATCTGCAAGCTTGAAGGCAATCCATTCCCCCTTCCCATTAGAGAATCTCGTACGTTTTATACTGTTTTCCGACCCTTCCCATCGGCACTAGCAAAGTCAAGACATCTCAGTTTTTGTAGCCAGTAACAAACATCAGAGAGCAACGTGGCCGGAGTTACAGCCCGTTGTCTTCAACCTTCCATAGCAGAAAGCAATTACTGCTGGGTGAACGAGAAGCAGGCGCGGGTACCAGTGCAGAGCAAATCCCATGCTGTGGAAGTCACAGTGCAAACTTGTTCAAAAGACTTTAGAATTCCTCGAGCAAGTAGCCATTCCGTGTACAGTTTGCAAAGGTATTTACAAACAATTGTTAATTATTCTGAAAAACCAGCCAAGCCTGACAAACCCTTATCTCAGCAGACACTGAGGTTGCTATCTCCCGCGGAGCTGCACCAGTAGTTAACATGAGGGTAACTTTTGGAAGACAGGCGGCTCAGTACGGACCGGCTCCAAGTATGTACACAGCTGATTATTTTCATAGCCTTGAAGGACTTTGGTCAGACACGCACACAAAAAAAAAAGGTATAGGACTAAATACTGAAAAAATTACTCTTAGAAATGCGTAAAGCCTGGGTTGACAGAAGCCTCCCTGCAAACTCCGGGACTGTCCCTCTGCAGCCTGGCCGGCCTGCAGAGAGCTCCACACCGCCTGGGCACCGGGGAGCGGCCCCTGGAAGCAAAGCGGGTACCGGGGGAAATGTGCCGTCGCCGGTGCCGCAGCGGAGGGACGGGGCG